ACCATGAATATTGGTATTTTGAAGCCATGCAGTAATTACTCAGCTGTTAAATACCCATATTGGCTCTCAAAATGGTAACTCATCATTTTCCCAATGTATTCTCTTTCTGTGGGCACAGCTCTACATAAAGTCAGAATCTATCTATCTTCTCCCCTTTCTTCCCATATGAACACATACAACTGTCTACAGAGACAGTAAAACATAACAGTTGTACAATACAGGCTAAAAATACCCATCCAAAAAAAAGAGTTCCTATCATTTCAGTGATCTGGTTTATACATCACTCCCTTGTAAACCCAACAGAGCATAGGGCAGTCCATGTGCTGTTGTACCAGCACAGCTACAGGATCTTTTTTAGTGGCTTTGTCATAAAAGAAAACCTGCCAAAAAATTGATGAGAACTGTTCTGATGTTGTTAGAAATCGAAAAGAATCAGAACTGCTTCTCTGGGTGTGCGCACACTGCATTCAGAAGCAAACATAGCATCTGCAAATACACCGAGATACCCAGGAGAGAGAAACCATATAGGCACAGGTTTCTGACAGCTAATTACCCGGGCTTGTTGGACTTTTCAGCTCACTCTGAAGCCTTGATAACTTATGTATGCAGCAATCACACAGCCTGAAGTAAGCATCAAGACATCCCCATGAATACTGGGAAATATCAGTGAAATAATTTCAAGAGTTTGTATCATATTCTATTGTCTTATTACCAGAAAAAAAAAGAAAAAGATTCTTTTTTTACTGCTTTTTGGAGGTGTTAAAGTTTTAAAGTCTTTGTGCTGATGTCTGTGCAATGCACAGGGAAGGCACCTATTCTAGCTATCACTCTGTAGGAAGGCAAGTATGTTCTGGTTCCAACAGGTTCTTCTGCTGACATCTGAAGAAAGGCTTAGCAGAAGGCTGCACAACCCTTTTTTACACCCCTGCTCTTGGTGCTTTCTCTGCTGGCAGTAGGCCCAAGAGCATTTCCCTAACATTTCTACCTTCCTGCCTGAGAAACCAACACATTCTCATCTCTAGAAGCTTTAAGTGTCTGTAACAGGATGCACACTTCTGGGATGCAAGGTGGTGAAGACACAGATGGAGACGTGTGGGCATGCAGGCTGCTCCTCGACCCTGCTACACTGTAGAAGAGAAGTAGTGGTGGCTGCTGGAGTTGCTCCCTGTGTCTTGCTACCTTGGCTGCCTGACTTTCTCAGGATACACAGCAAGCGCATGGGCATGGGCGAAAGCAAGGGCTAAAGCATCATCATATAGCTCTGGTGATTGTAAAGCTCCGTGTTTGAGAAGGACAGGCTGGAAGAGAAGCCCCTGCTTTACCTACCACTGCAAAAGAGGAAATGGCCACCTTCTAATGGTGGTTGGCCACTGCAAGGACTTCCTCCTATAGCTGTGTGATGCCACAATGTCCCTACTCATAACACAGTGCAGCTGTTGGTTTGTTGTTCAGCTCTTTAGCCCAAACGTCCGCGCAAGCCTTTTAAAAATACAAAGCTGTCAATACCTCTCAGCTGAGTTTTCCCTTGACTGTATATCACATAGCCATGGAGGCACAAGCCTTTTGAGGATCAGCAACATTAACCTGAGGGTACAGGACAGTAGCAAGGAGCAGGATGGGAACAACAGTCAGCAATCTGGATGGTTTCTATCTGAGTACTTGTTTGTATCTGACTCTAAAGCAGTGTTATGAGCCGATTTTCCATAATGCTATAGGGCTTAAGATAGCCACAGCTTAAAAAACTATAAAAAGAAACTCTCTCTTGCCATCTAAATTCGAAATCACTACAGAACTATTATAAAATGGAATGACCTCATTGCATAAAATGCATTACTTTCCTGTTATTAGAAACACTAATGTTCCCTTCGCTAAGAAGCACAAAACCCCAAGCGACACGCAGTCACGTTGTAATCAGCAACGCCAACCGATTGTCCCAGCCTCTTGTTTGTGAATTATAAAAATGGTATCACTGCGGTCAGAAACGGGTTCTGGTTTTAGTCGCACCCTCACTACATCAAACCAGAAGCAACCCCGCTGACCGCCCTCAATTTTACCACATTAAAAGAACACAAGGGAGGCCCGAAGCCTGATGTGCTGCAGGACTAACAAGAAGCGAGTAGGTGGTCAAAGCAAAGCATTGCAATGGAAGCAACAGACTTTTAATGTCATTTCATAACCTCGAGCTAGAGCTTAAGAGGGCAATGGTGGTAAAAAAACCTCAAACCCACAAAAAACAAAAACAACAAAAGCAACCCTAGAGTGCTACAGGCCTCAATTGCCAAGCCTTGCTGGATTTTCACAGGAAATTTTAGCAGTCTTACTATCATCATCATGTTATATTATATTTGCACAGTTAATACAATTTCAGATGAGGCAACCTCAAAAGTGCCAGAACAGGAGTATAGATATTTTCTTCCTTGGTTTTACCTAAAAATGCCCTGCAGGGAAATTTTGTGCCTTCCTGTCCTGGCCCCGCATAACGAGCTGTGCTTTTTCTTCAAAAAATCTGGTTTTGTTTCCAGTGCTGGTCCTCACCTTGCTAGTTCGCTACGTGTCCTCTCGGCCGTGATCTTTCTTTATCATGGGGGTGTGTGTGTGTGTGTGAGGGGGTGTGTATCTGTATGTGTGGTGTTTCAGTTGACACCTCTCCTTCCTGCCTGTGATTCCAGTTCCACACTGATAACACAGTGGCATTCATGATGAAAAGAGAGGCACTTCTTTCAAAAGAATGAAAATTAAGGAGGCTACAAAATAGAAAACCAAAACCATACTCATAATTTGCTAAAAAAAAAAAAGAAAAAAAAAAGTCCTGTGTTTATACATCCGTTTAAAAACTGTTTAATCATCAGGTCACAAAGTGCCAAAGGCAGTGGGTCTGATCCTGTGCTTAAAGCAAACAATAAGCAATATACTGGATTCTGCTGGGTGTTCTAATGAAACACGGGGGATGAGCCAAAGAAAATGGCACTGTTCTACTTGTGTAAAGTTGGCAGAATCTGACTCCAAACTTTGTCATACTTTGGGCAGCATGCAGCAGTTTGTTACTTTAATTCCATGATTTTGAGGCTAAATCATTTAGAAGTGAGAAGTCAAGCCCGGCCGTGCTATGGTGTCTCAAATTCAGCTTTATCTTGAAGTCCAAGTAGAAACATTTGCTACGTGTGGAGTGGGGCAGACCCTCCTCGCACAGCTATTAAACATCAGTAAGCAAATGAGAAAACTTAGAAAGTGCAGGGAAACTCTCGGGGAGGGGGAGGCAAGAAACCTAGGTGTTACTCTTGGACCTGTTATGAACTTGCTCCGTGTTTGAGGGACTTCAGGTACACCATGAAATCCGTCTGTGGTTCGGCTTCCACATGTCTTACTTGCCAGTCTTACCTCAGAAAACATCTTTGACACTGAGCTGGCACACACTTGAGCGGAATTTGGACACCATGACAGCAACAGACTGACTTACCGGTATGCCAGGCATCCCACGAGGACCATCTTTGCCAGTATCTCCTGGGGGACCTCTGGGTCCTGGTGGCCCTGGAGGCCCAGGGGGTCCAGCTTGTCCTTGGTCTCCCTAAATCAACAAAAAATCCTCATCAGAAGGTTGCTTTAGAGGCATTAACCACACAAAAAGACATTGATTTAAAAAAAAAGTGTAAGACAGGCTGGAAGAAGTGGCCATGAGCTGCACAGTGGCTTCTTCACTGCTTATGGCAGAGACTGCACTTTGCCTTGAAGACCAGGGGGTTGTATCTGTCCAGTGCATTCAGCCACAGAGAAGAAGGCTCAAATTCTAAATTGCTTGTCCTACCACAGGACATAAGCCGAAATTTGGGGTAGCCTTGCAATATTATACTTCACCAGTTTTCCAGAGCAAGTAACTGTTTTCAATAAGCAGCTGTTTGCTTCATGACTGGCATAATCATAAAAAAGCTGAGGTAAAAAAGAAAAGTCGCGTGCGAGAACATACAGTTTGCACAGCGATTTTCCAAGCCCATCAATGATGCATGGATAGATCTCAAAAATGAGCATGGAAAATAACTGCTTTTCCACAAAGTTGTACATAATTTTTCATCTGTTTTGGGGAGCTTTTTTATGGTGACAATTAGCTAACTCCCTTAGTGATTTATACTTATTAATTTGTAAAAGCCAATTTTCAAGAGAGTTGCCAAAACATATTACCTTCCCCTTTAAAAAAAAAAAAAAGACACCAAAAAATGGTGCTCAAGTTATTTAATTTCCAGCACACCACTGCAAACCACTGCAAAAAGCTGACTGCACCTTAAATGTGGATTATTTAGCAAGGCTACCCACAGCCTTTTAATTGTTAATATCATTAACGATTGCTTAATTCCAAAACATTTTCAGATGAGCAACCTGCTATAAGAAGGCATCTGATAAAAAGATACAGCAAAGAGTAAACTGAACGTAAAGAAGAACCAGACTCCAGTGAGATGAAGCACTACCTTAATGAGGCGGCGTTTAATGAGCTGCTGATCAGCAGAGAGAAACCCATGATTGATTTTAGGGAACACCATCTGATCAGGCAGGTGAGGTCAAAGGTTGAAGATCAGAGATGAGAAAATTGAAGAATAGACATCAGAAGGCCCGAGAAAGAAATAAAGACATATTCATTAGATTTGTAATAGCTAAAATAATATAAACCGGTGCTTCTGCCTGACAGAAACTGTGCATTTTCTTTTAAAGAAATTCACCTCTAATGTACAGGACATACCACTTCATGAGTTAATCATATACAACGAATTAACTGTGTAACTTTTTTCTGCCCAGATTTCCTGTGAGAATTCTCCCCTTGTATTAACTTTTTCATACCTGGGCTCTAAAAATCAGTATTTTTATATGCTGTTCTTTCAGCAAAGCTTCTAGAGACAAAGCACCAGTTCAACTTTCAGTCAGATTTTCTAACCAGCATATTGTGCCATGAAGAATGGTGTCATTTTAATAAGGACCGGAGTTCCAGCTTGACCAGATTGCTTCAATCCTTCCTGCTTAATTTGCAAATGCGCTTTGAAAAAAAAAATCTGTTTGTACAGATTAAGCCTCTGATATCCAACACAAATAGCTGACTCTATATGTAACCAGTATAGAGTTCACTGACATTTTCCACACTCCTGTATGCCTCGGGGAAGCAAAGCTACAGACAAATCTCATCTGAAAATAAAATACTGACCAAGATCACACAGAATGTGGGTGCTGCCGGGGGTAACACCGTACAGTTATAGATTTGATCCCATGCGCTGTATCAGGAGTACTTATACCAATGCAAAGGCGGTGAGGGTTGACTTGGGTCCACCATAAGGATTCATTGGTATCCCATGGTAAAAACAATTTTTCATGTGCACTTCTATGCTGATACAGAGAGACCTGACTGAACAGGTACGTGTCAGCCACAAACCTTGACGGTGAGGATCTGATTACTGTGCAGAGCAGCAACTGTGGGGAAGCCTGGCAGACCCTAGGGACACAGCATAACATGGTACCAAAACAGCACAGCACAAACATCACAGAGACAATTTACTAACAGACAAACAGAACGAACACTATGTTTAGTATACCCCACATTGCCTACTGACAGGGAACAGCCTCTCTGTCATATGGGAAACAGAATTAGGTTTGCGCTACGCTGCAGATGTGGGTTGTTACTTTACAACAAGAATAGCAAGAGATTTTAGAAGGAGCGGTCCCACAGAGGTGACTTTCCTTAAAATTACAATAAATTGTTATGATCATTTGACAGTTGTTAGACTCTCAGCCAGCAGATGACAGAGCCATTTTCAATTCAAATGTGCTACGGCACTTCAAGAGAGCTGTGTAGAAAGCTTTGACTCAGGATTGCTGCAGAACTTCACAGCGGTGACGGTGGGTTTTGAAACGCTTTGTATAATTAACATCCTGCTCCTCACATTCTGTTTAACATATGACATTCAGCACATGAACTGGTAGTACATACACAATTATAAACACTGAACAACAATCTACTGCTAGATCTTGGGTAGTCCGGGGTGGCCAAGGTCAACATTTTCAGGACATACATAGCAGCATTTTCATATCCAGGGCAAAATTCTTCCCCTCAAACGCTGTATGCTGCATATAGTTTCTCATATCCTACTCTACCAACATGTGCAGAACTTGTATGGTACTGGTACAAAAAAGAGGAGTGTGGTGATAATGGCCTGCTGTGACAATTCAAGGGGTGAATTTTGCTCTCAGTTCAACACCTCTCTTGTGCTGCCTTGTAGGGTACAAATTAGACCTTCTGATAAAGCTGAAGCTTTATACGGCTGAGCAGTGAACTCCTAAAGAAAGAAAACCTCAAGTCCTCTCCTTGCCTTTAGCACAGCACGCTGTCTGAAGCAGAGGCTTGTTCAATGGCCGAGGGACGTCAGGCTGAGGAACATAGAATAAAATATCATCTGGTAGCTCTAAGCTCCCTACAGGCACGCATGCACACATGCTGCCCCTGTGAGGTGGAGCTGGTGGCACAGCCCCTCTGCGAGGCCTGGAGCATATGGCTGCAGGGTTGCAACTTGGGACCTCCAAAAGGGAAGGCTGCACCTGGCTCTGCCTGCCAGACAAGGTGGCTTCCAAGAAGTCCCGCACGAAGGTTCTGCTGGGGCAGCCCACGTTGCCACAGTGCAGGAGCCCTTTGCGGCCCAGGTGGCCCAGTGGAAAGCACTGACAGGCAACGGCAGCCTGCCAGGTCTCTCAGCTGCAGCAGATTGTGTTAACATGGCAAATACTTGCTCTCTTCATCTCCATATGCAATTACATCAGAGATCCTCTGGATCACAAAGACCGCACTGGTCTTCACAAAAAAAGGCGGCATAACTTCCTGATGAACGTATGTCCTTTACTAGCACCTTTGAGTTGCATTCAGCAGCTTTATTCCTGAAATATGCCCATGAGATGAGGAAGCTGAGAGCCTGTAAGTGGATCCCATAAAGCCAGGGGCAGCTTTACCAGCCTTCCCACTTTGTTCTGATGAACTGTTGTGTGGCTAACTGCATTGCTCGGTGGCCTGAAATCTCCTCTTCAGAAACAAATAAAAAGAAAACAAAACCAAAAAAGGCTAAAACTCCAAACATACAAAGAAACTCACTCCTGAGACACTGCTAAGACTGGAATGATACATCATTTAGAAAACAGATGTATCGAATTTGCATTTATCTTATTATGGAATATAAGTTAAAGAAGTTATTAGATGGTAACGTGCCAGAATCTTTACATCTGTGACTCATTAGCCCTGCTGTGCACATGGTCCATTCCTTCTAGATAAAACTACAATACCCGTGTAATGGAAATGAGTACAAACGAGAAACCTACAAAAGAATTAAAATCTCAGTAGCAAGCAATAAACTTTAAATCTCATTTATTAAAAAAAGGGATAAACAGAAAATCTTTTAACAACTTCAGTTTTACTCATCAGCCTTTAGGATTACAGCACAGTAATCTTCAGTTACCTCTAAGTGTAGCGTATTTGCAATTTGACATTTTAAAAAGTGGAAAATCAAAACTCATATTAGGTTTGATTTATTTCATCTTGAACACAGAGGAGAGCTCAGAATTAATTAAGAAAGGAGTTTACTCAGAAAATATACTGGTTTGCCATGAAAGATTTCTTTTCCTTGAGAAGAAATGAAAGAGTTTTGAAAGTTTTGGGTAGCTCCACACAAAAATGTTTACACCAACCACTTCACAGTCCAGCCCCAGCATTCTCAATGCTTCCCAACACCACACAGACAAGTTCAAGAGCCGCTATCAGTACTGCAGTTTTCTGCCTATATGAACACCACATGAGAAAAGTGGACAACCCCGTTCTTCCATCAGCAGCTTAGTAACTTCTTTCAGCTTGTTCCCCAGTAGGAAAAAGCTTTCTTTCCTTTGCTCAAAGCAGGCATAACCTCAGACCAGAGACTTGGACCAGGCGAGCTTGGACCTGGATCATCTCCCCATATGAAACACACATATTTGGAGAGAGCCAGAAACACAGGAATATTAAATGGAACCCAGCAAAGAAACTATAATGGGTGCATAGTTTTTGCATGCGTGGGAGGCTTTAGAAGGCATTGCATCTTCTGGCATCCATGAAAGATAATGTTGGCACACAATGAACTTCTAAAAAGGCATAAAAAGAGCTATCCTTCCCACAAAATGAGTTCTCTTCCTTTCCTGTCACTCTGCTATAAATATAGCCGCAAATATCCCCTAGATCTGTTTTATTTTTTCTCTATCTAAAGCTGTTCTTAATGATGGATTCTAAGTTAGTCAATTTTCTCTTTATTTGGTTTGATTCTTGAACTGCGCATAGGAAGGGCTCTTGTTCTACACCCTGGGAGGCCCTCAGAATACAAAACACTAGCGAGATCAACAGCGACCACTGGCCTGCTGAATTCCTCTGCTGACAGCAACTCAACCTCACCCTGAAACGCTAGCTGGTTACAATTTCTAAATTAACACATTTGTTGCATGCCTCGCTGCAATTTTTGCCCAAATGCCAAGCAAAACATGATGCTTGCTGGAGGCTAACAGGCATGTGACCACATAATGCAGCGTCCTGCTTACCTATCTGGAAACTTAGATAAAGTCTGCTTGTCCCCATACAACGGCTGCTAAGAAAACCACAGGGTGCCAGAACACCGTATCATTCCCTCTGTCCGATTTTTTACTTAGATGAAATAGTTCTCCTCTTACATCCCCCACAGCCTTCAAAGATGTAATGCCCACTCGCAGTCCTAGATTTTTCATAGTACATCCAGCTCTGTGCGTTGGTCTACATGAAGTCAATGTTATAAGGTCATCCTAACCTTGTTGTACGGCGAGTATAATAATATTAAGCAACAGCATTACTGGTTTTCCATTATGGTGACTACACTCCATTTTGACTATTGCATTTGCTTAGCACAGTAAATGTCACAGTCCTCCTTAGGATTTTCCTTCTGACCTGCCAATAAACCCAAGCTGCACAAGCTTACATACTCCTGTGAAGACATGGTAAATGAGACAGGAATTACCACCTGCTGTTCACTTGCACTTCCTAAGGTTACAGCCAGCTGCTGCTATTTCACATCAAATCACACAGGCTTCAGGCCAGAGCGATCCTGACACTCTTTATGGCTGCTTTACCTTCCCCCAACACCACCTCCAGTTCTAATTAATCCCTCAGACCGATTGCCAGTCCTGCAGCTAATTATTGTACCTGCCCTGGGGAATACAGTGCTCAGTATCACCCTGTACGGAGCCATGGACTCTCAGCAGGAGCTCTTTTATATAATCCCTTTTATCATAACTGCTGCTTTCTCCATCAGCAAATCCGCTAACTAAAACAGTGCGCCACAAGAAGACAAGGATCCAGGAATTTCTTTTCACTTAGGCAATCCTTCGGCAAAGAGTTTTAATTTGAATACATTACGTAACGTTTCAGACTTTGTAGTAAAATAATAAAAATGTAATGTTTAAGTACTAGCACAAACGACGATTGGAGAAGTGTTATTTTCTATAATGACTTCTGTATTTTCACAATGAATGCTACCTGACACTACGCTCCAAATGAACAAAACTGGCAAAAGCCAGCGCTTCTCTATTTTGGTCCTAGTATTAGATGAACTTTCAGCGAGGCAAATATCTTTTCCACACAACTCAGTTACAAGTCCTGATGAGTGATTACCATCTGACCTACACAAAATATCCTTCCTGAAGGCAAACCTACTACTCTCACTGAAACTGGAGGTAGGCATCCACGTAACTCCAAAATGAGTTTGTCCTCCCCCAAACCAAGTTGGTTCTCACAGCAAAAACCTTCTGTCCTGGCTTATGTTTCTCTTCAAATTTTATAATCACTGCAGTTATGCAAAGCAGGTAAGTGGTTCGAGCCACTTCTGTGATATTTATTAGGACTGGATGAAATATTTTTAAAGAGTTGTTTTCGATCAAATTGATCTAACTGAAGTGTTCAGTGTTGCAGCTCTTTCGTGGGACAGCTGCAGTTTGAGATAAAATGACTACATGGCGTTTTCTCAGTCACAGGACAGACCTATGGAAAAAGGAACAGGATGTACAGAGACTTCCTTCCTCACCATTCCTCTGGCATTACTAAAAAGGGGCAAGACGCAAACCAACTGGTGGTGAGCAAAGACACGCACCGCCAAGCTCTTAAGGCAGGAATGACAACATCCTCGTCTTGGGAGCAGGTATGCGGCACGCTGGAGTGTCACAGCTGTTCTGCATTCCCCAGGGGAACCTCAGAAGCTGAACATCAAAGGCATAGCTTGGCCCCGGAGAGTCACCCAAAGCCAAAAGGATGCTCCTGTGAGCTATAGGAAGAGGCACATCTCAAGTCGGAGTGTCCCAATGCCTCAGACCAAATTGGCAGCCAGTGCAGTCTGAGTTCTTTCCTAACCTCTTCTAGTTAACAGAGCTCCAAGTTACCTCGCTCCAATTCATTACCCTAGTTTCAGC